TTTAAGGAAGGGGAGGAAAACGATAGAAAGACTGCTCTGTAGAGAGTTGTAGAAGGCATTGTGGGAAAAAGCACAAATGTGTCAATCTGAAAATGTAGTAAGTGGGTGATGGAAGCTGAGAGGATGGAGGAATCATCTGTGCACTGACTGAGGGACTGAGAAGACTGGAAAAGATCTTGGAAGTGGAAAAAACAGCCTCTAGTTGATGCAACAGAAAAGAAAGTATTGAACCACAGATTCATTCCTTCTCTATTTTTGTGTAGCCCTCTTCAATCTTAGTAACACTTTTTCTTTGCATTATGTATCCTAAAACACGATGTAGCATTGCAGTAATAATATAAAGGAGAAATACGGCTTGCTTATACATTTTAAAAATGTATATATTTCATTAAAATGACTACTATTAATTCTACAAAGTTAAGCACTCAGCTTGGAGAACGTCCTTATTAAAGCTATATATTTGACCTTGACGGACTGTGGTGCGTATATACTGTTTTCGAATTATCAGAGAATATACATTTTTTTCCTAGATCGTTAGAGATAGGAAACATACAAAGCATCTGTAAATTTCTGCTTTTTCTTTATACTTATGTAGTGGTTTTACCCCATGGCTGCATTCAGCATATAACTAGCAGTTTAAAAATACACATTTTTTTTCATCTAAGGAAAACATATATTAAAAATTGTGAAATACACAGATGTTATTATTAGCCTATTGAACAAAATTTACTTAGATGCAATGCAGAGGATAAAGTAGCTAACAGTGAATCTAAATTAGCTGCATAAACATGTGCAATGCAGCCCTCCTTAGGTGCAATCTAGGGCTGAAGCAATTAATCACAAAATCTACATAGCTATAACGTGAGGTTGGCTTAAATATTAAATATAACACATTTTTCCAATCTTAGTTTGCTGGTTTTTCACTACTACTCTTTGTTATTATACTTAATGTGTAGCATACTGTACAAGCACAACACAGACCGCTTTCCACTCTGTCTGTGGACGGTTTTTATGATATACCAGATATTACTGGGTGAAATATGTTTTCTTCTCTCAAAGACAGCTTAACAATTTTCTGCCTTCATGCTGCCACTCAGCACCTTTTTCCTTCCTTGTCTTCTTTTTTAGAAGTCTTTTTTTTTCCCAGATGTCATTTCAGAGATTCAGACTACTGAGTAGTACCCCCCTGCACTGGGGCAGCAGAGAAAAGCCAGCTGTCATAGAAAACACATTAAGGAATTTATAACTCTACATGATTGTAAAGTACTAAATAAAATATTGCACCACTTACGAAGCAGTAAAAATCTGTAACACTAGAGACTGATTCCCACATTATGTGTCCACAAAAGAGAAGAATTAAGGTCTCACAGGTAATTTTGAGAATAAAACATGTACCTATATATAGAAGTAATGGCTTTGAACTCATACCCTTGCATACAAGCCTAGTGACCATCTATTCACTACCGCAGATGCCCAAAACTGCTTCGGCCTCTGTGGTCTTCCTTATACACAGAGGCTAGAGAAGGGATCACCACCTACTCAGAGCCCAATTTCTCTCCCACTGTGCTGCTGTTCCTTCCTTACTGTGTAATGTTTAATTATGCAAACTAGAAAGTTAACTCTTCAAGCCACATGCAGGCTACTTTCTAGTTGATCCTTAAATTCTTCCTACTGTTGGAATCTGTGTAGGTTTTAAAGACAAAATTTTAAAGTTCTGTCTTCCCAGAAGTTTGAAATGTGCTGATGATAATGTGTGTACAGTTCAGTCTGAAGTTCTCTGATGCAAAGTCTGCTAAAAAACTCATCCATGCCTCAGAAATTCCACGATACTGCATATTCATTAGACTGAATGAGTGGAAGAAGCAAAAATTCAAGGCCATCTCCTTCGTCATTTATGAGTTCAGGATGAAAATCCAAAGCGATAAATGTTCCATTGCTATGTTGAAGGAGCCATGTATAGTGAAATGTAAACCACGGTGTGTTCACTGATGGATATCAACTTAAATTTTTCAGTTTTCGTATCTCAGTCGTGTTGGTTATACCACTGCTCAAATAAACCATAAAAGGTATAGGGAGATTCAGCATCACTTGTTTTAGAGAAGAAACACAGAAAAGTGACCAAGTATTAAAATTCTGGTGTATGAAGTCTTTTCAACTACAAATACGACGTTAAACATGGAACCAAACAATCCTTCCCCCCTGGAATTTTTAGTACCCGATTGATATTATTACAAGTAACGTCAATTTCTTCTGCTTTTAAACTACATCTTTCTGCTTATGCTTAAGCATCCTTATGCACGGTTTTTTCAGCACACCGCTGACTGGCACATTTGTTTCAGGAACAAACACACTCTTATGCGAATGCATTTATTTACAATGACTGTTTGCCTGAATTTGGTCCAATTTTCTAAACTCTCCAACATCTCAGATTTTACTTTATCCTCTACTCTGTATAGTCCCTGTTAGCATAATAGTGGCAGGTTTGTAAGATTCAGCTCCTATCACAGGTCATTTACAAAGACATCAGATATCACTGACTCTAGCTAGCTACGTTCCGAAACTGTTCCCAGGCTTGCTTTGTTAGGATCTGCTGATTTCTGCACAGAATAGAAGGCTCTTACAGGGGTTAAAGTGAAAGGAAAAAGAGAGATTGAAAGAAATCTTTTCCCCATTATTACTCAATTCCAGTAAAGCAGATTTTTGACCTGAGAAATTTTACTCACGTTCTGAGATTAGACTACTGATAGTACAAAATATTTCTGTCTGGCAAAGATAGTCAAATCTGCTCCTCTGTAAGCAGTTATTTAAAATTCAGCATAATTAAAAAAAACACTTTAATATTATGAGAAATGGCCAAGCACTGAAACAGAAATAATAAAGAAGAGAAATTCAAGCAACAAACAAAGCTGTGAGACGAGTGCATGAGTGCTTGTGAGACAAGTGTGTGAACGTGTGATCGCATGTGTCAGGCTGGACTAGCTGGTGAGTAGGAGACCTGCAGAGCAGGTAAGAGGGTTCAGGACCCAGGCAGGGATATGAGAGAGGCTGGGGGCCTGTGCTGGGATTTGAGAGATCTGCAAATGGGGGTATGCTTGTGAATCGAGAATGTGAAGGGCATGTGTGTTTTCACTCATGAACTTCAATTTCAATCAGCGAGAGAAGATGACGGTACTTGTACTTCACGTGCATCCTGGCAGAACCTAGAAACATGAAAGCTGCAGTTGCCTCCACCAGCGTGGGATGGAGAGATATCGAGGTCTCCAGGTGCGATATCGAGGTCTCCAGGTGCACCAGCCTTGGATTCAGAGGACAAGGCGGAGGAATCACCAGGTCCTGGGATCCACCCAAGGCAGCAGTCTGATAACATTCCTCAGCACAGTCACTTGAGTATCAGGAAATGCAGGCACTACACTTGTTTGTACACTCCTAACTTGACCTGGTTGGTACTTGTGTTTCAAAATTGCCTTTAACTACATGATCTCATTTATTTTTTCGTATTCAGTGTATAGGACAGATGATGCTTACCTAATGAGTTACTGCATATTCTTTTTGTGCAGTTCCTTGGCCTCATTTACTGCATGACGTTCAAACCTTAACCTGAGGACAACGTGATAAATTTCCTGTGAGGTCTGTCAATAAAGTATCTAGGTGCTTCCCATTCAAGTGATATTTTCTTCCTTCTCCAGATGTGGGACTGAGACATACAGCATCTCAGTGAAAAGTCACAGTTTCTGTTCAGTACCTATGTGTTAGCAAGCCAGAAGCATTACAACAGGGAATGAAGTATTAGTCTCCCCTCTGCAAAGTCTGTTTTAAATATCTTTCCTAGCAGATACAGACCTAACTCAAGTTCTCCAGAGCTGCACATGGCTGCCTTAGCCATAAGACCATTTTTTCTGCACCTGCAATCCTTTGGCATGTTACTGAACGCCACTGAACTTTTTCAATTAATGAGAAAGAGGTATGATTGTATTTTTAATATGTAGTTTTGAGCACCACTAAAAACAATGCCTTGCAATAGGATATATCAGGCAATGTAGCAACAAAAATAAGCAAAAAACCCATGCAATGTTTATATAATCTCATCAACAATATATTTCCAAGTATATGTTGGAAGGGATAAATATGTTGCTCCTACCCTGCTGATGAGGTAGCTAACACACTAAGATATGAGAAACTGTTTGCTCTGTATCACCTATCAGACGAATGACTCAGCTGAGAGAAGAGCCTCTCACTTATGAAGCATTTTTTTCTTCAGGATTCTAAAACATTTTACAACCATAGATATTATTTACATGGATATTATTTATCATCTACAGATGGATAAATTCAGTTGCAGAACGACTACAGAGTAATCAGTGAGAGAACCCAGCCCCATAATTCTGCAGTTGGCGAAGACCATTGGACTGTAACAGGCTGGGCCGTGGAACAGTTCTGAAAACGCCATACAAGTTCCTGAATAACTCCAAACAGTACCTACATGACTCACATGTAGAAATTTATCTATTTCCATAATTTAGCAGTTTATTCAGCAAAAATACATTCCTCAAACGTATTGTTGCTTAGATTTAAATATAAAAATATATTTGTTTTTCAAGTAAACAGATATATCAGATAAACAAGAAAAGTCAAGAAATAAAACTTCCAGAAAGGAAAGATTAATTTATAAACAAATAAAAATACTACACTTCTTAAACAAAACACTTGACACAGACTTCATCATTCCAGAAAAGTCCCTTATACTAAAGTGAAATGTACATACTAATCCAGCTGAAGACTCAAGCCATACAGCACATGCATATTCTTGACCAACCTAACACAAAAACCACATAAAGTTATACCCTGTTTATTGTCTTCTGGAGTTTGTAACATAGAAAAATAATTAATTTACCTGAAAGTGTAGAATGTGTATTGACACTGCCTCTTCCTGAACAATTGCTACTTGGTTAAGAGTTTGCATACCAAATTTTAACCCTATGCATATGGACACAGGCAAGGCTTTATTTTCTGTTCTTCACAGGAAGGATATCTGTAATCCAGTAGTGAAACAGAGACGTGACTACCTTGGTATGATCTGAAACAAAGAAAACACATTCCTCCTGAAATACCTCTATGACATTTCTGAACATTGAAGGAAAAGACTTGTGTGAACATCTGTTTCCATTCAATATTAGCATTTCAGTAAAATCAATGCAGCTTTTGGAGCTTCCAGGCTAATACATATGAATTTCTAGACAAGCAGGTGCATTTTCTTTTAGGATGTCAGTTATTTGTATGAGAAACAATTTTGGTTCAATATTTTGAAATGTCCTATTTATTATGACTCAATAATTCAGAAAAAAGGGAGATCGAAATGACACGATCATACAGGTAAGGCTAAAAGAGTGTAATCTTCTCCCCTTCTTTCTGTGGGGAGAGTGATTTCACACACTATTATTTAACTTACAGTAGCACCTAGAAGCCTCAGTTGAGAATGAGTTGTCTTGTATAGACAGCTGCATTAAGGCTTCAAAATGCCACGGCTTCTGTCTTAATTTAGAGATTATCTCTGTGACTTTTTAACGATAGGACTTTCTACAGTACTTATCACATAATATCACATTTAAGATCATTCTGTAACGTCACATTACTATAGCTTTCACATTCCATTTCCTTTTTTTTGAATGTTCATACAAAAAAAAAAGTTAAATCTATTCATTTTAGGGCCTCTGTGTATTTCGCCTCTGCATTGTTGGCACACAGTAACCGTATTATTTCTAGTCTGCAAAATGTACCCCCTCACCCCCCGCAACGGAGACATATAGAAAGGACAACTCTCCAAAAAAAAGGCAGTTAAAAGAAGGATCTAGCTCTTCTGTGAGTGATAATTTCTTAGGCAACATGGGAAGAGTACGTTTGAGACATGATACTAACCAACAAAGGGAAAATGATCACAGATAATGGAATGAATTTGATGAGTAGAAGCTGAATGAGTTCATAAATTAGGAGACAAAGACTTTTTTTTAATTAGGCCATCACCTATGCTTTAATAATTGACTTGAGAATTAAGTAGCCCTCATTTCAAAATTTACAGTTTCCAACCAGCAAATGGAGCGTTACTTCCATTCACAGCTCTTCTCCTTTGCCCACTGCACTGTGCAGCATGATGAAGGTGTCTCGCTTCCTCTTGCAAACAGCTGCTGACTTTCTGACAGAGATCAGCCAAGCCCCCATCATGAGAAATGCGTGTCTATTTGACTTCTAAACATTCTCCTCCCTGCATTTATAGAAGATTTTAGGTAGAGGTAAGTGCTTTTTGCTAAAGACTACCAAATACAGGGAAATAGTAATAGGACATTTTGTCATTTTTCACAATCTGAGAACAATGACACTTTAAATAGCCATGTTCAAACAAAAACTTTTGATCAACCTCCACTTTGTATGATTGCTGAAGGACAAAGTCAGAAGTAACTTGATCAAGTAACTTGAAGCACAAAGTACAAGGTCACTTGACGGAGGATGACAATGATACAGAACAACCAGTATCTCTTAACCATACAGATATTCAAGTATGTTTTCCCATTTAAATAAGGAGTTAAAGGTAATATCTTAATGTTGATAATTTATCTGTTTCAATCTCTTTAGCAATTTCTCTTCCTGCAAAATTTTTCAGACCCCACCACCAACCCTGTTAGACCTTTCTTTGATATGACTGCAAATATTGGAATCTAAGAGTTTAACATAAAACCCAAACTTTTTTCTTCATTGCTTCTTTTTTCTTTAGGTTAAGCCATGATTCCCAATCTGAATGACCTCCTAAAAGGTGTGAAGGAAATACCAAAATATGGACTTGAACCAGTGGTTATCAATTTGTGGTCTGTAGACCTTGGGCAGTCTATAGATTTACTCTAAAGGATTTTAAAAAGTTACTAAGAAAAGCAAATTTATCATTCATAGGCATAAGCTTGCCAAGTAGAAGTTGAAAATTAGATTAAATCATAGCATATATATACGAGGAAATAAAAGATATGTAATGGTATGTTTACTTTGCAAAGTTTGCTAACGGAGAATGTGCACTCATATGAAAGAGATGGATCACTCGTCATTTTTTTCCTACTCTTTTCTTCCTTGAATTAAAGACAAAACTGAACAAAACACAGCACCCATTATTATTCCTTTGATGTTGGCATGTTAAGTAGAATCATAACCACGGGAAAAAGGGTTAACGTACTGCGTCTTCAACAAAAAATAGGTTTATTTTGTAAAAATAACACACCTTGCTAAAATTAAGAAAAACTGTTTTCTTTCATGATATTCATAAGGAATGACCTTTTCTTCTAGGACATCACGCCTCAGTAAAAACAAACAAACCAGAAAAAAGTCAAGATAATCAGATAAACTTATAAAAAAATTGCGATTACTGTGATGCGCTGTACATTTTTATCTTCATAAACAGCCCTAACCTGTATTTCTATACAAGAACTTGAATTTGCCAAGACAACAAGTTTTTGCAATAACTTTTATCACCTGTTCATTTGGAATGAAATCTAAAATTTAAAAAAAATGGGCAAGATGATCTGTTTGTGAACCAAAAGTAGGGAAAAAAGTATAATTAAAAGCCTAAGTCAAGGTAAAATTTCAGAGTGCTGTAATCTCATTCACTGAAATTGCTGAATTAGAAATAGAATGCATTGTTAAACTCTGCCGAGTCAAATTAATATATAGCAGGTGTTTAATTATTATTTAATAATTTATAACAACGTTTTTTCCTCTTTCTTATTTTGTTGTACCTCATGAATACCAAATCAACTACTACAGTTACACCACTGTGAACTTGGAATGAAATTAGCATCGAGCCCAGAGTGACAACAGTTACTAGGAAAAAAGATCAACTGGAAGAGTAAAAAATTTCAGGTTGTATCAGCAGAAACATAAATGAATTTTAAAAATCACTCAGAAAATTGTTGTCTGCTTTTTCAAGTGACAAATACATACATCAGAAAACTAGGGTAGTTGCATGGATTTGTTTCTGATTGCTTCTGTTTTCTCTTCTCTCTTCAGTTTTGACATTTCTGCTATATAAAATAAACAGAGCGGTTTGCCTCAAGGCTGCAAAACTCAACAGAATTCCTACTGTATTGAGTTGGATAAGGTCTGTAAGGAATATCCTGAATGTGGTCACTTCAACAGTTTCACTTTGATTTAATCAAGAGAAGCCGAATTAGGTCATTTAATAAAGGGCCAATACC